TTTAAACAATGTGCCAGGGGAGACAAGCAGTGGTGGGTTCCTACCAGTTTTGACCGGTTTGACCAAACCAGTAGTGGTTTTGCGGCCTGGGTTGCTGGAACCGGCAGCGACCCAAGCCTGCCACACCCCCAAACCGGTTCTCCTGTTTTTGGCTTCTGCGCATGCGCAGAACATTTTTATCGTACTGCGCTTGCGCACATGTGCTCTGCGCACCCACGAGCAAACCAAGAGTAGTGGCTGTCGGAAGCCACCCCTGGAGACAAGGTTCACCCTTCCACACGGACACTTTTAAAGAATCCTTTAAACTGTGGCGGATTAAGGCTCACTGGTGTCCTAAGCACTGACAAATCTCGGTGCCCCCCCTTCCTTTGTACATACTGTACAAATGAAGCCAAGCTTCATTGGGGTTATTTTTCTTTCTCAACTTTGTGGTGCCCCCTTTGGGTCTGGCGGCCTAAGCACGTGCTTAGTTTGCTTAATGGTTAATACACCACTGCCTTTAAAGAATCCATCGCAAGACAAAAAATAGTGGCCAAGTAAGGCACTGTGTCTCAACACTAGCAACTTGAGAATGTGTGGACTTCAACTCCCAGTTTTGTATGACAAAACTTCTGCACAGCTGATTCCAATTACTTATTTAATTCTGCAAACTTGTATTTTACAAGGTCAGAAGAGACTACCATATTTACAGCTTGTTATTTAAAAATCAGTTTTAGTGTTGTTAGTTACGAAGTTGTGTTCGACCCATCGCGACCCCATGGACAACGTTCCTCCAGGCCTTCCTATCCTAGACCATCCCCCGGAGTCCATTTAAGCTCATGCCAACTGCTTCGGTGACTCCATCCAGCCACCATTTTTCTCTGTCATCCCTTTCTTCTTTTGCCATCCATCTTTCCCAGCATTAGGCTCTTCTCCAGTGAATTGAGCCTAATGCTGGGAAAGTTTGAGGGCAAAAGATGAAGGGGATGACAGAGAATGAGGTGGCTGGATGGAGTCGCCGAAGCAGTAGGTGTGAGCTTAAATGGACTCCAGGGGATGGTAGAGGACAGGTTTTAATAGCATTGAATAAAAATAAAGTAGGGATATTTTTTTTTGCAAATGTCTTCTCTTAAAAAAAAAACACTTTAGTAAATATGTGGCTGGTAAGACAATGCAGCTCAAACTTATGTAGCATCTCAACCATGGTTTTGCAGTTATTCCATTATCATCAATAAGGGAGCTCTTTCAGAGATGGCATTTAGAAACTGAAAATGGAAATATCAATGCAATATTTTCACAAACTGAAACTCCAGACTCTATAAATGTCCAAGAAATTCATGGCAGTCTCTTGCATTAAAAATCTATACTTATAATAATATGCACCAGGACTGTAGTTACTTTAATGACAATTCTCCAGAGGCAATAGGAAACAAAATCTGGGTTGTTATCAGAAGCGAGTTTGCCTTTAGCTGTTGATCCTGTGAATATCTATCATGCCAAAAGGCGGGAAGTAATAACAACAAATGTTTTAGAGAAGGATTCAGAAAATAAAAATTAAGAAACACTTCAGTCAGGGTATCTTTCCCTTTCTGTTTGAACTGCTATGCAGTCTACAAAATTTGGACTTAAGACATTTCAGAGAACATGTTTCTCTATCTTTAAAAAACACAAGATGTTTAGGAAATAAACAAAATATAACTTATAGCTTCACTAAAATCAATTACATGGAAAGATGTGAAGATATTTTGGATGATATCTCAGTATCTGTTGTGTGGCCAATGTAAAGATTGCAATAGCAATATCATTTAGGCATATATACCACTGCATAATGCTTTACAGCACTCTCTGGAGAAATTTACAATGTAGAAGCATTATTTGTATATTGCTCCCAATAATCTGGGTTTTCCTTTTACTGACCTCAGAAGGAGGGACGACTGAGTCAACCTTGTCGCGCAGTGGTTAGAGTGCAGTACAGTGGTGGGTTGCAGGCTGTACGCCCCGGGACGGGCATACCAGAGCCTGCCTGGAGCATGGATAACGTTCTGGTACGGTACTCCGGAGAGCCCACCCACCCGCCTGCGCTCCTTATCATATTTTAAAGATTTTGGCGCTTTGGTGCACGCACATGGTGTGTACACCTGTGCGATGCTCCGCCGAGCAGCTGGAGCATTGTGGAAGCTTGCGGAAGCGTTGTTTGCAGCTACAATGCATGCACGCGCTGTGCGCATCCATGTGGGAGACGCTGGGCCCGTTCCAACTGTAGCAGTTGGAACGGGATCCAGAACCTGGTGCAGTATTGCAGTCTACTTCTGCTGACTGCTGGCTGCCTGCAATCTGGCAGTTCAAATCTCACCAAGCTCAAGGTTGACCCAGCCTTCCATCCTTCTAAGGTAGGTAAAACGAGGACCCAAATTGTTGGGAGGCAATATGCTAACTCTGTAAACCCCTTAGATAGGGCACTTTAAAAAGTATATATATTTTAATATATATTTTAAAGAGCCGAGGTGGCGCAGTGGTTAGAGTGCTGTACTGCAGCCACTTCAGCTGACTGTTATCTGCAGTTCGGCTGTTCAAATCTCACCGGCTCANGAAGCTGAGTGCTATTTTTAGGTATTTTAAAAACACCCGAGGAGGTGCCCTGAATTTTTATGGAGCAGACGTTGAATTCTTTTGCTTTAAAAGAAAAATTACAGGAGTTTTTTTTAAAAAAAAATAATAATATATGAAAGTCAGAAATAATTCATCGACTAATCTTGGCTGTGTCCAACAGTTGCTTATAATAATAAGGGAGCTGAATCTGGAGGGCCCAATCTATCAGACGGATTTAATTCAAACTGTGGTTTTGGTGGCGTTTTCTTAAAACCATTGCCCTTTCACCCTGGAAGGAGTCGAGATATATAGCAGACCCAGGTTTGAAGAGCACGGATGGGAAAATGGGTTAAACCTCAGCGTCACCACACAAACATAAAAGGAAGAGGTTCCCCTCGCACATGTGTGCTAGTCGTTCCCGACTCTAGGGGGCGCTGCTCATCTCTGTTTCAAAGCCGTAGAGCCAGCGCTGCCTGAAGACATCAAGGGGAGGGGGGAAGAGAATAAACCTAGAGCTGAATTAAAACTATTTGTGTTCGTGCCAGACTGCCTTTTAAGCCACAGTTTGCCATGACGGTTGAAAGCATGACAGTGTCATGTTGTCTGATGTGATGATGTCACTCAGATACATGACAAAACTGTGTCAACCCTCGAGAGTCAATGGGGAAGCCCGGTTCACTTCACAAACATAATAATGGCAATGATTCACTTAACAACTGTGGCCAGAAAGGTTGTAAAATGGAGCAAAACACGCTTAGCAAATGTCTCGCTCAGCAGCATGAATTTTGGGCTCCATGATGGTCGTACATAGAGGACGACCTGTATATAAAAACAGCCTTTGGACTTGTAACCAGGGTAAATAGTTTCCTGTTTGCTCGTTGAAATTGTACTTAAAGGTAAAGGCTTCCCTCGCACATTTCCGACTCTAGGGGGCGGTGCTCATTTCCGTTTGAAAGCCGAAGAGCCAACGCTGTCCGAAGACGTCTCCGTGGTTCATGTGGGCAGCATGACTCAACACCAAAGGCGCACGGAACGCTGTGGTTCCTATTTTTCTACTTGCATTTTTTACGTGCTTTCGAACGGCTAGGATGGCAGAAGCTGGGACAAGTCACGGGAGCTCACTCTATTACACAGTGCTAGGGATTCGAACCGCCGAACTGCCGACCTTTCTGATCGACAAGCTCAGTGTCTTAGCCACTCAGCCACCATGACCCTCTGACACATACATACCAATCAGCTATTATATACAGGTAGTCCTCGACTTACGACAGTTCATTTAGTGTCCATTCACAGCACGGAAAGCAATGACTTTTGACCGTTTTTCGCACTCACAACCAGTGCAGCATCTCCAGGTTACATGATCAAAACTCACATACTGGGCAACTGGTTCATATTTACGAGGGTAGCAGTATCCGGGAGTCACATGATCAGATTTTGCAACCTTCTGATGAGGAAAATCAATAGTCCAGATTCACTTAGCCACCGTGTTACTCACTTAACAAACGCAATGATTCCCACTTTGGTAAGAAAAGTCATAAAATGGGGCAAATTCACGTAACAAATGTTTCACTTAGCAACATAAATTTTGGGCTCATTTGTAGTTATAACTCGAGGACTACCTGTATTTAAAAATCTGGTTAACTAAGCATCCAAATTTTATTCTGAATTGTTATTCCATGGTTTGGATCATAAACAGCCATTGATGAAAATCTGTTCAGGTCACGGTTCTCCCAAAGGTGCTTTTTCAAGAGGCAACTGGGCTTTCTGATTTTTCTTTGAAGATGTTTCTCTTGAGGACACAGATAAGCCTCCAAGTGGCCTCAACGACCGTCTAAAAGGGTGCAAAAGACTAGCTGTCTGCAAGGAGCATAAATCCTTCCATTCCCCACTGTTGTGGCCCAGCAGGAGCCATTGGAGTTGCAAACAGACTCTGACAGCGAGGGGCTCATGAGCCGGCTCTGGAAGATGAGGAGGACCCTGGACAGGGTTCAGACTCTGAGCAGGGACCAGAGAGGCTGGTTGGCCACCAGGAGGCGCGGAGCAGCGGTGAAAGCCAAAGGGAGTTGGTCCCTGAGGTCAGGCCCTGGAGCAGTGGGGAGGAGCTAAGAGAGTTGGTCCCAGACGCTGGGCAAAGGTGGGCAGATAAGCACCGAGAGCAACTACGCAGATACAGAAGATAATTGGACCCAGGTGGTTATAATTAAACTCCTCCCAAAAGAGTATATAAGGAGAGACTTTGGGAGGAGGCTGTTTGCAGGATTCAACTAATATACCAACGCTGGAGAAGCTCTCGTGTGTATTTCTTATCTTGGAAGTCTGGATTGCTGCCAAAGTCTTGTCGGTGTGTTAATTTACTGTGAATAAATTGTCTAGCAGTAATCTTGTGTCAGAGTGCCTCAGCGTATGGAGTGGGGGGCAGAACATAAACTGGNGGATTAGGCCAATGCTGCCTCATTTTCTGTGGCAGGACTCCAGGCATGCTCCAGAAATGGAGAAACGTGGAGATGCGACTGGCCTGGATAGCCACCAAATTGCCACCAACACCTGCAGAGGACAGAACACACGTGTTAACCCTCTATAAGAGAAACCCAAAAGCCTTGCCCAAAGCTGTGGAGACATGGGTACAAGTCATGAGGGATGTTGTATGACAAGGGAAGGCAACATTTGGATCTTTATAGCCCACAATTAACATTTTATAGCCCAGGATTGGCCTTGTGGGGATTTGCTGAGGATACAAATCTGACAGATAGACTTATCAATAAAATTACCAATTGAAGAAATACAATTTTCTCTTTTTTTCACCTTGGATTTTTGCAGGATTCATGAGCTGTTCTTGTTTTAGGAGCTTACACTGTATTTTTTGGGGGGGAGGGGGCATTCCTACCACACTATGGCAGGAAATGGAGCTACTGCTGGTAACTAACATTTTGTAACTAAAAGTAGAAATAATTCTGAGGCCACTCAGTTTACTCATTCCTGTTCTGGAAGGAAGCTCCTAGTGAAACCATTTAAATACCATCATATTGTTTATATTGTTCTTTTTGACGATTGATTTTATGATAAGTACACACACACGTGCATATAAAGTAGAAAGCGAGAACATTTGAGCCCCACTTTAAAATTCAATAAATAACGTAGAGGGATTATACAATAAAAGCCTTACCTGGAAGTAACCTCAATGCAACTTAGTTGATATGGAAAAGGAGATGCATTTGATCTAGTATTGGTGGCAATCAATATTTGGCCCTAATCAATATATTTTTAATGTAAGACGAAATTGGAAATTCAGCAGACTCAGAGGTTCCCCCCCCCCGCCTTTAGAAATGG